CCCCAAAGCCCCAGTAGATAGTTGTATGTCATAGTTGCACATCCTTCTAGTTGCTGTATGTGGGACGCGGCCTCAGCATGACCGGAGAAGCGGTGCATCGGTGCACGTCCGGGATGGAACCCAGGCTGCCAGTAGCGGAGCGCAGGCACTTAACCGCTAAGCCACGAGGCTGGCCCAGAATAGACCACTTTTTACTAAACTCATAGTTACTCCCAGAAGAAAGCATAGCAATATATCTAATAGGGTTTTTCTTTCCTCTTCTCTTCTTTTGTTTTCCTTTCTTTCTTTCTGTCTCTTTTGTAATTAAATAACCCAAAGACTCTCATTAGCGTGTGGAGGATTAAAATACAGTTGCCTTGGGTCTCAGTTGATCCCACTCAGAATAGAAATTCTGCTCACACAGTTCCTGAGAGTTCTGTTTTCTAGCTTCAGGTCTGAGGAGGTGAGGGCCTGGCCTGCGGAGGCCGCACGCCTGTGCAGAGATATCTGCCGGTGATGAGAAGGAAGAGGCTCCTCCTCAAGACCTGATGTTTCTTTAAATACCCGCAGCTATTCCTGTTCCCGGGGGAGAGCGCACAGAATGCAGCGACCTTGTACCACCAGAAGCACACGGCCATAACCCTCCTGGCCTCTTTCTTCTACTCTGCGCACCTCCCGGAGCGCCTGGCCCCCGGACGCTTCGACTACGTCGGTGAGTCTGCGGAGGCCCTGCTGCCCTGCCCTCCCTCCTGCCTGCGGAGGGTTCCGTCCCTGACACCAGTGCATGCAGTTGCTAAAGGGAGGCAGGGGCAGGGGGAGAAGCAATTCTTTAGGAAGTTCTCCAGGCACAGGCCAAGGGGAGTGAAATTGTGAGTTGACAGAGGCCAGGATGTACGTAGCTAGTGAATTGTCAGGTAGGTGGGGGAGGATGTAGAGCAGGTAGGTGTGGGATTCTAGAGCATTCCTACGGGGTATGGGGTTAGGGGAGTCCCATTATTATCTAGAATGTCAAATCCCATTATTGGATGAACATTGAGGGCAGCCCTGGAAGAGGAAGAGGAAAGACAGGGTGCAGATGAGGCTACCAGATGGCAGGGGGCTGTGTAGAGGAGGGGAACTTGTCTGTCTTTGTCTTGCTCAGGTGGATGCGATGGGGCAGGGAATCATGGTAGAGAAGTGGTGCTCAGGTATGGTCCCCGGACCAGCAGTACCAGCATCATCCGGGAAGGTGCAGATTCTCGGGCCCCACCCCAGACGTCCTGAACCAGAAACTTGGTGGGTAGGGCCCAGCACTCACTCAGAGGCCGTGTGATTCTCCAGGTGAGCCGGAGCTCACTACAGTTAGAGAAGTGGCTCAGAGGAGAGGAGGTGTCAGAGCCACAGGCGTTTACACCTGCTGGGAAGTTCCCTCCCTCTCTGTCGAGGAAAGTGGGGCGGGTGCTGCAGAATGTCTCCTCCACGCTGGCTCTGGGACTGGCTGGAAGAGGGTCCCCTTGCATCATGTCTGGTGAGGCTGATGAGAGCTCCTTAGATAAGCTATCATGGGGGTCCACGGGTCAGTCCTTGTCCCCACATGGTGGGCAGGAACCTTGGTTCCTCCGAAGCCCATTTCGTCCACAGTTTTCCACCTCCTCCCACCTAAGACGTGTGGCCAGATCTGCTTTGTTCGCTCTGATTAGAGTATTGTCTCCCTTACTTATTTGCTCCTGCCAGAAGGGATTACAGCTAGTAAAATGCTTAGAGGGCAGATTTCAAAAAAGGAGGGAGATGAGAGGTCAGGGAATTGGCACCTGCCTACAGGAACTCACCAACCGTGTCCACCTCCCCAGCCCCACCTGGATGAAGTAGGGGTGGCTGTGCATGAAGTCTTGGGGCTGCAGGGAAAATGGCCCTGGACCTTATTTTGCCAACTCCCTGGCTTCTTAATAACATTTTATTCATTCGCCTCTATCCCATCCTCTTGGGCCTAGGGGTACAGAGCAGAAAAACACTCCTATGGGGGGAATTTGCCAGACAGCAGTTAATGACAGATCTTTATGTTCACAAAGGGTTTGGAAAGTTCTCTGTCCTTAAATAACAGAGTCTCCGGATGTGGGGCTCTCTCTCCAGAGCCAGCCCCAGAGCCCTAGCCCATGTGGGAAGGGCCAGGACCTGCATGGTTAGCCTTGGCCCACAGGAAGCTCCTCCCTGTTCCTGTCAGGCAGGATTGATGAAATCACTCTTCCTGCCTCAGTCACATTTCAGATGCGTCCACTGCTCATGGCTCTTCCCATCTTACCTCATCCCCTAATGGAGACAGGTTTGAGCCTCAGTTGGTGAGCCCAGCTGTCACTTCTCTCTGCTTGGCCCTGTGCCCTTGGAGAGCACAGCTCTCTGCTGGATAAGGAACCACTGTGCTGCATCAGACACAGATTTGGAAGTCATACACAGCCCATTAGTGTAGCTTGAGTGAGGCAGGGGTGGCACCTCCAGGCACACCTTCCTGGGGGACGGAGACTGGGGCACTGGCGGGCGGCTCCCTGCTGTAGGATCTCATCAGCCACCCACTTGAGAAGGCTCAACTCTCCTGCATGTTTATTCCTAACTCTGCTCCTGTTGAGTAGTGCAGGTGACCAGGCTGGTTCCTTCCTGGGACATATTTGTTAAATACTTACTCTGGGACAAGTCCTGGGGGTATGACTCCAAACTCTTTTTTTTTTTTTTGTACTGAAAGAGTATCCATATTTAACTCTCATGTTGTATTAGTTTGCTGGGGCTGCCACAACAAAGAACCACAGACTGAGTGGCTTAAACAACAGAAATTTATTTTCTCACAATTTTGGAGGTTAGAAAGTCTGAGATCAAGATGTCAGCAGGGTTGGTTTCTTCTGAGTCTTCTCTCCTTGGCTGGCAGATGGCCCTCTTTTCCATCTCTCTTCACATGGTCTTCCCTCTGTGTACCTGCATGTCAGTGTCTAATCTCCTCTTTTTATAAGGACACCAATCATAGTGGGCCCCACCCTAGTGACCTCATATTAACTTGTCTCGTCAAGACCCTCTCTCCAAACATGGTCACATTCTGAGGTCCTGGGGGTTAGGACTTCAACAACATATGAATTTCGGAGAGGGAGACACAATTCAGCCCATGACCCATGTGGTCTTCTCATCTCACTCCTGGTTTTTGAGGGTTGTCCCCCAAAGCAGTCCCCAGCCCTGGGCAACGGACTTCTTTTGTCACCAACCACCAAATCCGCATGTCCCTGCCCACTCCCACCACCCACTTCTGGGCTCCCACCCTCTGTGGAGGCATACCAGGTGAGCTGGGGTCCTGCAGGTCATGGGGGAGGAAGAGCTCCTGGTCATCTCTGGGATTGACCACTAGGAGGGAGAGGACCACCTTGTAAGTGGCCAACAGAAAATGTAGCTGGCTTCTCCTTTGGCACTGAAGTCAGAATCTGAGCGGATGAGCCTGCCTCTCAAGAGATGACCTTTGCCAGAACATGAGGCCCAACTTTTTCATGTGAAAAACAGGACTGGTGGACAAGTTGTTTCAAAAATGGATTTGGTTTGCTCTGATAGCCTTTGTATTTTTCTCACATTACATTTTAAAAATAAATTTATTGAAGCATATTTTACATATCACATAATTCCCTAATTTCAAGTATACAATTCAATAGTATTGTTAATAAATTTACCACATTGTACAGCCATCACTACAAATGAGTTTTAGAACATTTTCATCAGCCAGTCAGATCCCTTATGCCCATGAATGTTAATCCCCATTCCCACCTCCTGCCCGAGGCAACCACTAATCTGCTTTCTGTCTCTATGGATTTGCCTTTTCTGGACATTTGATGTCAATGGAATCATACAATATATGGTCTCTTGTGTCTGGCCTCTATCACTCAGCATAATGTTTTTAGCATGCATGCCATGGCATGTATCAATAGTCCATTCCTTTTTATTGCTGAGCTCAGTGGCCTTTTGTGTGTTTGCCATAGGTCACAGTCACCAGCTGTTCCATGTGTGTGTGATCCTGGCCACACACGTGCAGATGGAAGCCATACTTCTGGACAAGACTCTGAGGAAGGAATGGCTCCTGGCCAACTCCAGGCCCCTGTCTTTCCCTCAGATAGCTGGAGCCATACTTCTGTGCCTTGTCTTCAGCCTCAGCAACATAATTTATTTCTCAGCTGCTCTGTATCGGATTCCTGAGCCAGAATTACGTAAAAAAGAAACATGATTCAGATCATAAGCTTTTTGTGCCAGATGTCAACATTAAGCTACAACGTCTGAACCACCTAAGCTGGTGGCATGGTACCTATTTGCAATGGCCTAAAACATTCATAATGATTGGCGTCTTGGCATTTTTGAGTGGGTTCATGTCAATAAGGTATTTAACTGGGGAAATTTCTCTAGATTTGCACTGATTCTGTATGTGTGATTTTCAGAGAGGAACATGGGTTCAATTAAGTCCTCGTTCAGGCAAATTATTAATATTTCATTAAGTTTTAGATTTATTTAAAATAGATTTTTCTATTCTATTTAAACAGTTGGATTAAGCACACTAGCGTTTTAGCTTTACTATTAAACAGTTGGATTAAGCTTTATGAATATGGTTGTAGTATTGCTCTTTGAAAATGGAACTTGCTTCATTTGATGAGTTTCATGTTGCAAAGTCTCTCTGAAGAGCTCCTGAAGTGGGAGGAGTATGAGCTGGAAAGGTCAGTGGGGGGACCTGAGAAAGAAGAAGTTGGGTCTGTGGGAGCCCTGGGGACTGGGAAGGCATTCCAGAAAGAGGAGACCTGGTTTGGGGAGGGGTCTTCTTCCTTTCCTCACCTAGTGAAGAGAATGAATAGAAAGAGAGTCCTCTTTTCCTACAAGTCCATTGTGCTTCAAAGTGTAATTTCCCATGTCATTGTAGATTTGGATTTTCTTAAAAGCCCACAGCCTATGGGTGGCTGTCATAAGTTCTGTTTTGCTCTGTTTTCTTGTTGCCAGTTAGATGCTGCAAAGTATTATGCAGTGTAGGTAAAAGGTGTTACACTGTGGGAGTTGGCTGAGTTAATCCCAGTTGGTTGTGCTCGTCTGTCACCTGTATTTGGGGTACGCTATATTTGGGAATGCCATACATTTGATGTTGCTTTAGCATTTCAAATATGCTGCAAAATGTAGTGTTCATGTGCAGAGGATGCTAAAGACCATGCCAAAGTGTTGGTCAAATGTCGTGATTCTCAAGCTTTACAGTGAATCAGACACACGTGGTGAGCCTATGACAAATGCAGATTCCTGGGGCAGACCAGGAGATTTTGCTTTACTGGTTTAAAATGTAGGTTTCCTAGAGGAGATTTGCACTGGAGCAAGTCCCCAGGCAATTCTAATGCAGAAGGGCCATGGGCCAAACTTGAAGAAATGCTGGTGTCATGAATTCCAGAAGACTCTGGGCCTCTCAGCTTTGTTTTGATTGATCTAATTATCAGCAACTCACCACCTAAGGATGTGTTCCCTGGTTTCTACTCTGCATAGTATTAAAACACTGAGCATTTTCTCATCTGTTGCATTACTAATTAAAGTTCAGTATTTCATTGTGTTTTCAGGGAGTACAGAAATGCTGATGCAAAGCAATTTTTAACAGAGGCATCAACCCCTGATCTGCACTTGCTAATGACTTAGGGGGCCATCCATCACAATGCAGGCTCCTCTTTGCTGACTCAGGAACACTCCCATATCTTAGAATACTGACTTTATGGTTAACTGGCCCTGACATTTGAATGGCCTTGTAAATAGCTCATCATCCAATCCTCTGAGGACAAGTAACAGTTTATATTGGATGAGAGTGGTCAAGAAATATGACTTCATTAGTTTTATTATCTGTTTACTTCCTCTGGGGGAGGTAGACTGATAAAATTATATGGGCTGGTAAATTTTTGGTACGTTAATTGCAAGCTGCATGACAAAATGTTTTTCTGGCAACAGTCTGACATCGTTAGTAGAATTTTACTCCAGCAGGGTCCATGGACTTCCAGTTCATCTTACTGTAACTTCTTTTTTATGGTCAAAAAGGTACAAAGTTTAAAGTCCCTGTTCTAGTAATGCCAAAGACATGAAGGCTTGTAAATTCTCTTGTTCGTGGCGAGTAAAATAATGTTGTTCGTTTAGCTCAGAAATAGTTGAAAGATAATGGGTGATTAATTTGAAGGACTTTTAGATTATTTAATCTTTGGTTATATTGCTTTTTCATCATACTTAATGATGAAAATGAAATGTGAAATCAGCAAAATAAGACCAAGTGTTTCATAATTTTTTTTTTTTTTTTTTTGGTGAGGAAGATCGGCCCTGAGCTAACATCTGTGTCCATCTTCCTTCATTTTGTATATGGGATGCCACTAACAGCATGGCTTGATGAGCAGTGTGTAGGTCCGCGCCCGGGATCTGAACCTGCAAACCCTGGACTGCCAAAGTGGACAGTGTGAACTTAACCACTACGCCACTGGGCTGGCCCTATCGTGATGTTTTTATAAGTTTGGTAAACTTAGTCCCATGGTATACTTTTGGACAGTGTTACAAATTAAAACTTTATAACAGTTTGCAGTACACTGGAAGCTTCTAATGTGGAGTGAGAATGGGTTCAAATATATTAATTATCATTATGTATTAAGTCTACCGTGAGCGTAGTTTTGCCTCAGCCATCCCAGAAAATTAAAAAGGTTGGCAGTGCATCAGTGGGAGACCTCACTGGGAAGATGCCTTTTAGGGTAGCGGTTCTACAAAAATTTTTTTTGGTGTCTCAATACACTTTAGAGATGTGCCATACTCCCATTGGTAGCAATTTGCTCACCATGCCACTGTCTCAAAAGGGATTATGTAGAGGGCAGGCACACTGCTAGTGGGATGTCCCTCTTCCCCCTCCCTTTGCTGGAGAAACACGACTCTAAACTTACCAGACATTATGTTGTGATAAAGCGTGAATGGGTTTGAATGAGTCAACTGTATCCCCCTTCGCTCACTGTAGAGTTTCATTTTCCATTGCTCAGTTTTTAGAGTAACTCTCCATCTTCTTTCTAAAGAAATGAATTTGTCATTGTTGATTAGAATTAGAAGTGGGAAGGTTAGAAACCTTTTCAGTGCAAAGTGATTTAAATATTTGGTCTGCTGCAATCTCTGTCCAAGTGTTTACTGTGGAATCCTGCTCATAGGAGAGGTTCTGAGGAAGGCAGAGGGGAATACAATGGTGTTGTCAGATATGTTGCAGAAACCCTTCATTTGGATCTACTGTGTCCCAAATTTGTTTTGACCATGGTACCCTTCTTATCTGAAGCACCTATTAACGCTGTATAACAACACTTTATAACATATTAGTTGACTGCCAGCCTCTGATTTTCTAGTCAACAATCCATTATGGATGAAAAGACAAAGACCCATGTCCAAACTCAGAGATATTCTTCCAACTTACACTAGTGTCTGGTTTTCTTAAACTGTGGGGGAGGAAAAAAGAAATAAAATTTATTTATTATAATAAAGTTGTCCTGTTTCCCACTTGATTTGGTTATGTTTCACCTGCCACACTGCAAACATGTTCATTCATCATGAGAGGGACATTGCTGTATACATGTGCATTCCTCATTCATTCAGTGAATATTGATTTAGTGCCTGGTGTATATAGAACCAACACGGTCCTCAGAAGTGGGGATACAGAAGTGAACAAAAGCCACGCTGTCCCTCCCTCATGGAGCTGGTGTTCTGATCGGTCAGTCAGACAAGATAGATGGATAAATTCAGAGAGTGGTAAGTGCTATAAAGAAAATAAGACTGGTGAAAGAATAGGGAGGGGGGGTAGGGCAGGTGAGAGTGGATGGCCACCCTGATAAGGGGACATTTGAGGAGAGATTTGATGGGTAGAAAGGAGCCAGCTGTGCCAGCATGTGGTGGGGGGAGTGTTTCAGGTCGAGGCAGCAGTAAGAGCAAAGGTCCCAAGGCCAGTAGGCACTTTTCCCGTTGGAAGGATGGAAACCAGGCCACTCGTTCCTGAAATGTATAACTCCAGAAGACGTCTGGATGACTTGACTTTTGAAGAATTCTGGAATGTCTCCTGAATGTTCTTCCTGGGAGATTGCCCAAGGGGCTTTCCTATTCCCCCTTGGTATTTGTATGAATGTTTCACTCTGTCACAAATGCAGTTCAGACAAACAGAGAGTTATCATGCCCATTCTCTTCGTGCCAGGCAACAGATTTCTAAAACTAGCTTAACTTTTGCCTCCTCCAGAGCATGGAACAAGGGACCTCAAAGATAATTTAATCCGGCCTTTCAAAAATGTGTTTCATGTAAAATGCACATTCTCATGTCCAAATGAACAGATGCAAAATACCCGGGGTGGGGGGAGTCTTGGAGATTTGAATTTTTATCAAAAGCCCTGGGTGATTTTTAATATAAAGGAGTTTAAGAAGCACTGATATAGTCCAACCATTATGATACCGGCTCAAGACAAGGTTGACATAAGGGAAGCCATATGGTAGAAAAGAAACCCTATTGTAACTCTGAATGACCTCTGACTAACTAACCCAGCTGGATATGCAGCCTCCAGAAGATCTAACTGCTTTGTAGATTTTACAACCCCTGCCTGTGCATGTACCTCCCAGCTGCGATAAGATGACAACTTTGTTCTTTTGAGTTCCTTAGGAATGTGATGACCCCCAGAGAGTCTATGCTGATAGCCATCGTCAATGAAAACTGAAGGATCTGGTGTGGCACTCCCAGTCTGTAAGACCAGAAGGTCAACATTCCTAACCTCCTCCCCAATAACCCACCAGCCTATATAACTGCTGTAAGACTTTGTGCCCCTTAAGATGGTTCTCTTGGGGCCCAGCCTGGTGGCGCAAGCAGTTAAGTGCACGCACTGCGCTGTGGCGGCCTGGGGCTTGCCGGTTCAGATCCCGGGTGCGCCCCGACGCACCGCTTGTCAAGCCATGCTGTGGCAGCATTCCACATAAAGTAGAGGAAGATGGGCATGGATGTTAGCCCAGGGCCAGTCTTCCTCAGCAAAAAGAGGAGGATTGGCAGATGTTAGCTCAGGGCCCATCTTCCTCACACACACACAAAAAAACAAGATGGTTCTTTTGGACATTAGTCAGCCATCTTCCCTCTTGCTAGCAAACTGTAATAAAATGCCCTTTCTCTGCCACTATCTTGTCTCTTGACAATTGGCTTTTGTCTCACGGTGAGCAGGTCATGCCCTTTGTGCTGTAACATTT